TTGTGCTTGTGTATAGATTCCAAAGTTGAAGTTTGAATCTTCTTCCTCAACTGAGCACATCTTATTAAGAACATCCACACTAATATTTTGCCATACCTCGAAAGTAGCCATATCATGACTCCCACAATACAAAAAATCGTTATCACATTTATGACCTTGACTTTGACATGCATTTTTCCAACATGTATCTATGCGTTCCACAGCAAATAAATACCATAGCGCCCCAACAATCTGCAATGATGTCCTCGATACTTAGCATATAGCCTTCAAGACTAAAACAAACAAACCCGGCCATTGTTACCAAATTCACTAATACCCTCACAAACTACGAATTGGTACATGGTACATGGCCTAGTGGTACACTTTTAGACTAGTTTAACAAAATCAGGTAGCGAATTGTGTTTCCATGCTTGTTCCACGTACCAAAACATACCACAACAAGACTAGAACGCACTTACAAAGAGTGTAATAACAATTAAACGCGCTTACATGACTAGAGAGCAAGTACCACAGCAAGTAATAAGCAACTCCAAGCCAAGCACTTTCAGCAAATACACCAGCAGTCTTTTTCAAGTCTGAAGTCAGAGGATAAAACCTAGCAAATCTAAAAATGTATTGTGAAAATACAATTATTTGCAACCATTTCTTTGTCTCTATTATACCTTTCCCTTGAGCTTTAACAAGGTATTTTAAGACCACAATCTACACAACCAAGAACGACGAATCAATGAAATAACATTGCCTCTACTTGACATCATCAAGAAAATATTACAAGTACATATAATACCTGTGGTAAGGGCAGAACAGCTAACAAATCTATGATGAAATAGCGCAGTAGGTAACGTTTAGCAATCTCTCCGGTATCAATAACAAGCTCACCACGTCCAAAGACTCGAGAAGATGGTGCAATATATGCAGTACAAAATTGAAAAGCCATGTGAATAAGATAGAAAGCATCAATCATGGTACACAAAGTCGTAGTTGTAACAGCTAATCCATAGTCCATGCCTAAGCAATTCTTCTGATGTTCAACTATAGGTAGATAAAAGAACAAAGGATCTATAGACACTGCAATGATGCAAGATATAACGAAAAGTCGATTCCAAAGAAGAAGAGATTTATCTTGAGGATCAAACACTTTCTTGTCAGACACTTTCAGATCTTCTGGAAACACTGCTCGAGTAACCCCTGATCGTAGTGATTTACCAATTGTCCTTAGTCCATGAGGTTTCATCATTCCTATATTAAAAGACCTTGTTGAATTTTGTGACTTATAAACACTACGTTTCAGTCCTTCTATACTGAAGGCGAAACGATTTGTAGAGTCATTGTTCTTTGTTGAGAATGAGTCCATTTTATTTAGTCTGTCAAAATATAAGAAACCATTATACATGCCACACTTTTAAACAAAATCTAGACTAGTAGTATCAATGTAACAAAATTCAACACGAACAATTAGTATAAGAATGAAGCTAAAGCAGAGCAACCTATAGCTAAAGTTAATTATGAACATATAATGCTACAAGATTATGAGTTCGTATACCTTACGAATTTTTCTCTTTGACCATTCATGACCTGTGATTTGTAAGCCGACATATCTAAATTCGTGGAGAAGTAGATCAACTTAAGCAAATTGAGAAAGTAAGCTCTTTATACACTACATCAAATTGTTGAATTTGCTACTGAATATTTGTGACTGTCAATACTTCAGTCGCGAAATTAATATTTACGTCTGCCTGTATCAAATGTCACCAACTTGACAAAATAATCCTGCACTAGAATTGTACAAGTTATGCATAGCAATATCGACTATAAATCGTACGTGAGAGCCTTATTACAACAATTTGAATGACACGACTTCTATACATTGTGTCGATTTTAATTGAACACATACATTTTAACATAAGACAAAGGTGTCATATATAGCAATGACACAATTGTAAGAGTAACGCTCTACCAAATGAGCGATGTGGAGTACGCACGAATGAATGAGTCGAAATCTTTTATTCGATTTCTAGAGAAGAAGCGCCATTTTATTAAATACTTTTGTTATCAAAATTTTGTGTAATATCAAGAAATAAATAACATTGAATTGAACATAACAAATAAATGTACATGTGCAATATATAAACAAACACCCTTGACATAACGCAAATTGTAAGTTTCTTTATCCAAAACGTAGCTAAATTTGGTAATAATAATTCTAAGCATCAATTGTTTAATTATCTCATGATTTTGATAGATAATTAACTTGTACATGAAAAATAAAATAAAATTGGGAGATAGAGAAGGGCGCAAAACCTTAATATGAAAAGGGCATGATTGAAAGACTAGTGCACCAAAAATTCAACACCAGAATGAAGAGGACATAGAGATGTTGTTAGAGAGAAATTTTCTGGAAATGGAGGGAGGGAGGAAGCCAAGAAAGAAACTAAGAGCATTTTTAGCAAATTAAATAGGACTTTTTTTCATAATAATAATAATAATAATAATAATAATAATAATAATAATAATAATAATAATAATTATTATTATTATTATTATTATTATTATTATTATTATTATTATTATTATTATTATTATTATTATTATTATTATTATTATTATTAGTTTTGTGCCCGTGCGATACCCAGGTTTTTTATTGAAGATAAATTTTTAATCTATATGTCAAATTTTTAAATATATCATTGATACAAAATTAATTAGGAAATTGATGTGCTTTTATGACGATTTGCTATATTTTATTGAAATTTTTTTAACAAAATTATAATTCAATTTGTACCTCTGAAATATTGGTATTTTATTGAAAATAAAACTCTAAACTAACAATTTTATCCTAAAATTTTATCCAAATAGAATTTTAAATTAATTTTTTAATCGTCTATTTAAATCTATCAAACGTGGCGCGACACTTGGAGAAAAGTTGAAATGCCAAGTGTCAATACCTCGTGACCTGGCTAAAAGTTTAGCTTTATATATTAGTTATATTATTATTATTATTATTATAAAAAAAAAAAAACTCCTCACAATCTTAAAATTTAATAGACAATAATGATACGTACTCCATATACACATACGTTGTACTTGTACTCCATATTTTATTATTTGCTTATATGGACTTATGGAGTACTTTTTGTTGGCCTAATGGTTGAAGAACCTCCTTCACCTGGGATTCAATTCTCACCCCAATTAAGCAAGTGTGGGATCCCCAATTCCTCCGGCTAGCAAGACTTCTCCCCTAAAAAAACACATCTATCTTGGCATCACCGTCTCACTGATTCACTCTAAAAGGCTATAGGTTCCAAGCTAAGGAAATAATTTAAAACGGAATATGAGTCAACCTGCCATATGATAAATATTATGCACGAGTAGCACTTTTTTTATTTAATAAACGGGATATGAAAGAGGCATTTTATCATATTTGTTCTTGCTCAGTTGAATTGAAGACGCAACACCATGGTGCAAGGAACTTATTGCCTAGTAGCCTTGAATTGGAGCAACTTCTTTAGTTCTTTATAATGTCATAAAATTTCAATTGGCAATGGGCAAATGATACCCTCTTTTACACTTGATAAAAGTTAGATTATTGAATTGAATACGATAGTCGATCATCTAGTGGGGTTGCTTTTTTTTTTTTTTTTTTCCTAAGCTTTCTTGATTTGTGTTGAATAATAAACCTCTCAAGTGTCACCACATATAAGTGTCTCACATTGATTGAAGAAGAGAGAGTTAAACACTTTATAAGGCTAAGGGGCTACTCCTCCTATTGCCATATGGTTTTGGGATGGAACCTCCTTGTACTTGTGAAGTGGACTCTCTCTCTTAGTTTGCGGGTGCGGCTCAGACCCGCGTTTGACATGGTATCAGAGCCAGGCCCACAATATGGGACCTTAAATGGCTAAAGTTCACTGGGCCAAGAGTAGGTCCGTGTGAGGGGGAGTGAAGAAGCACTCTAGCCCGAAAAATCACATGAGACAAAGTTAAAAGGGACCTTACATGTGAGGGGGAGTGTTGAAGAATAAACCTCTCAAGTGTCACCACATATAAGTGTCCCACATTGATTGAAGAAGAGAGAGTTAAACACTTTATAAGGCTAAGGGGCTACTCCTCCTATTGCCATATGGTTTTGGGATGGAACCTCCTTGGACTTGTGAAGTGGACTCTCTCTCTTAGTTTGCGGGTGCGGCTCAGACCCGCGTTTGACAATTTGCATTATTTTATAATTTTTTTGGCTCTCAGAAGCTAACTTTTCTTTTGTTTGTGATTGGAAATTGATTGTCTTGAATAACAAACAATTGGACAAAATAAAGAGGTCAAGCTTTAACTCCACCAAAAATAAAGTAACTTTACTGGCCAATTGATACATCAACTAGGGCTAAAATTAAGAAGCTTTCGAGTTTTTTTTAGCTTTTTTACTATTTCTCATGTTAAGAGAGCCGGGAATGCCGTGGCCCATTTAGTAGCTAGATGAGATACAAATGATTGTTCCGAACGTGTTTGTATGAACTCTTTCCCCCAAAGTATCTTAACTTTGGTGAAACTTGATTTGCAAAAAAAATTCCGGCTAACTTTCCTAAAATAATAATAAAAAAAAAAAAAAAAAAAAAAAAGCTCTTAGTTTTGATATGTTAGCTATCTAGCGTGAAAGAAACAATAAAATTAGAATCGAAATGCACACGTAATCTATTGTTAACAGAATTTTTAACAAATTTTACACTAACAAGAAGTCACATAATTAATTAACATTTTACCATATGATACAGTTATATATATGCTTCCTTAGCTTGTTTATATAATTCTATGCATTTTATAAATATGTTTAATTTTTAATATTTAAAATCATAAAACATTATATTTAGATTATATTAATCGATACAAATTTAACAAGATCATATATTGACTATATTTATTTATGTATAAATCACAATTGAAATGATTAAAAAGAGCTCAATATGAATATTGTAAAAAGTTAAACAAAGGAGCTGGGAGGTTTCTTTGGCATTGGCCTACTTATGATTCATCGCTTGTCATTACACACTCGATGATATAATCTTCATGAATTATTGTATGCTCAATTAATTCCACATTATAAGATAATATCTTTTCTTTATTTTTTTTTTTACACAATTTCTTTACCAAATAGAAAACCATCACAAAACTCATGCACTCACGCTTAATCATCCTTTATCTGACCACAACCCCACCCCTCACTATCTCCCCTTGCTTATTTATCAAAGTCTATTCCACTAACTTTGCCATACCCTATCATCCACACCTTCAATAGATAACAACCATGTCTACAACACCACGGCCAATACCGAAACTAGAAGATAATCATCAATCTTTACCTCCTACAGTGGCGTCATGGACAACATACTTGGTCCAAGATGTTACTTCTGAGCTAAGGAAGCAACAGGGGATGGCGGTCCCATTGGTGATGATGAACTTAACGTGGTTTATCAAGCAGGCAATCACGGTAGCCTTCTTGGGGCGACTTGGTGAGCTACAATTGGCTGGAGGTGCTCTAGGGTTCACGTTTGCAAATGTCACCGGATACTCTATACTGACGGGCTTGTGTGGAGCCATGGAACCAATATGTGGTCAAGCATATGGTGCAAAGAACTACAGACTACTTCATAGGACCCTCTTCATGGCAACTCTTTTGCTGCTCGTCGCCACCCTTCCAATCTCTATCCTTTGGCTGAATATTAGCAAAGTTCTTCCTATTTTTGGGCAACAAGAGGATATGGTAGCTATGGCTCAACGCTATCTTCTTTATCTGCTCCCTGATTTAATGGTGAACGCCTTTCTTTGCCCTCTGAAAGCATACTTGAGTGCTCAGGGTATCACCGTTCCTATTATGTTAAGCTCTACTCTTGCAGTAGTTTTTCATGTTCCCATCAACATACTTTTGATAAAAGCAAAGGGTATTGAAGGGGTAGCCATAGCAGTCTGGATTAGTGATCTTCTAGTAATGTTACTGCTCGCATTATACGTGCTACACATGGAACTGAGGGGGAGAGAAAAGTGGCAGAAAGGGGGGTGGTGGGATCAGGGTATCAAGGAATGGTTTGCCTTGCTCAGCTTATGCGGGACATGCTGCCTGACAACCTGCTTAGAGTGGTGGTGCTACGAGATCCTAGTCCTTCTCACAGGGAGACTTCCTAATGCTAAGGAAGCGGTTGGGGTGCTTGTAATTGTGATCAACTTCGATTATTTGCTCTTCTCGGTAATGCTCTCCCTTTCTGTAAGTGCATCAACCCGGGTGTCCAATGAGCTCGGGGCAAACCAACCAAAAAATGCTTACAAATCAGCCTATGTGTCCCTCATAACAGCAGCGTTCTCTGGATGTTTGGGGGCCATGGTTATGGTGGCAGCCCGGGGTTGGTGGGGCTCAGTGTTCAGCCATAGCAAGGGGGTAATCAGAGGGGTCAAAAAAATGATGGTCTTGATGGCTATGATTGAAGTGGCAAACTTTCCATTGACAGTTTCCGGAGGGATTGTCCGAGGAACAGCAAGGCCATGGCTTGGTACATTTGCAAGCCTTGGTGGGTTCTACTTGCTGGCTTTACCTTTGGGGAGTGCATTGGGTTTCAAAGCAAAGCTCGGGCTTGGGGGTCTTTTCTTGGGGTTCTTGGTAGGTGCATCAACCTGCTTGCTTTTGTTACTGGTGTTTATAGCAAGAATTGATTGGGTCAAAGAGGCAGGCAAGGCTCAAGTACGCGCCTCAACAGGCGAAGAGTTTTTATCAAATGAGGGCTCAGTTAAAACCTTGGAAAAAAGAGAGAATTTTGAAGTTATTACGTGATCACTATTGGTCAGCATTCTAAGACAGAGAATTCAGGCACACCTACAAGTAAGAAAATTATCTGACTGAAGGAAAACAATGGATTCAGCTATGATTTAATCTTCTATGTCCATGAATCACTGCGATACGTAGGATACAAATGTAAATGTAAGAGACAATTGTATGAAATTTCTATATACTAAACCCGAAGATACAAACAATTGTAATTCGGATTTTATAATTCATAAATTCTAGAATAAGTGAATCATGATTTTCCCATCTGGAAATTTTTCCATCGAGGGAATGGTAGTACACAAAAAGCATGTGGAGTGGCAAAGGGACTTTCCGCAACTGAAGAATGTACGAAAAGCTATGAATTGAGCACGTTACTTGAGCTCAGTCACCATTCACATGCTTTCTAATATCAAAGAATTACAATGTTAGCAACATCGAAAGTTAAATATGAATTACTTATCTTCATCAAAACCAGGTTTAGAGCCTATTGATTTAAGCTTGTTGGCCTTCTCATCATCGAAACCTAGGGCAGCCAATATCTTATGGCCAGGAGACTCCTCCTCAGACCATATGCCAAGAAGTAAATCAATTGTCGTAATTACCCCATTTTCATCTGCATAGAGGACAATGCGTAACGAGTCATAATATAAACTGAAGTTCCATTTCTTTTTTCTTTGTTCAGAATCAGCAGTCTAAATTTTGATAGATAAAATAAACCATAAACAAAAGTGAAATCAACATCCAAAAGATAGTGGTAATGTGTCGTCAGTACTCACTACTTTTTACAGGTGCAATCCACAACAAAAGGATATTATAATTGGCCCCTTTAAAGATTTGGTTGGAAAAATTTTCAGACAATGATATAGTTGAACATCAGAAGCAATACCAAACAGAATTTACAACATTGCAATAATTATCATATCTATTGGCATATATTTTACAGAAAAGAAAATACAAAGACTAGAATAGACCCGGTCTACAATAACTTATTGTAGACCCAACCTTGTATACCATACGAATGTGATTATATCATACGAGATGTGATTATATTATTACAAAAGCGATTATATCATTTTGAAACTGTTATGTAAATGTATAACTCAAAAAGTGAATTTATCATTATAAAAAGTATCAAATAGTAAATTACACCAGAATGTGATTATACTATTTGAAACTGTCAAATTTTGAGTCTACAATAATTTATTGTAGACCGGGTCCATACAACACCAATTACTTGTTCTATTTCACTTGACTTATTTCATTTACACGCTTGTCAATGTATACATTTAACCATCAATAATTTAAATTCTTGTAAAGTAAAAATTACAACAAATAGATATTATGATATTATGTATTGAGACAAGTCAAACAAGATCCACATGATTATGTTTTAGTGTTTTACCTCATGTATAGATAACAAAAAAGGTAATAGATGAATGTTTGAACTTTGAATAGTGCAAAAGTCAAACTAGGTCAAGAAAAAAAGAACGGAAGAAGTGATAGTTCATTACAAAACACATATCCCCCACCAACCAGTTGCCGGCACCAGTAATTGACAGCTACATCACTAACTTTTCCCCATGACCCCACATCCATCCCCCTGTCCATTAACCTTCAATTAAACCAAGCAATGAAAGAAGCCATCTTTTTATATAACCTTATTGGTCATCAAGTAGTAAGCTTTGAGCTTAAAGAGACAAATTTATTATTGACAACACTAAGACCCAGCTATGCCATCATTTCAGCAAATCACTAAGATTTAAGATAATAGTAACACCATTACAATCAAGCATGCTGAAGAGCTGCAAGATAATATGAACAAAACGCATACCCGATTTCACCTTCTGGTTCAATGCCCAATCTAGTGCTCTTTGAGCGGATTCAGTCAAAGGGGGATGCTCTGGGCTGAAGAAGTACAAATCACCTTTTCCAAGTAATTTTATACTTTCCTCTTTGACCTTAGTGAGTGTGATTCCATTTTCCCTTAAAAACCTTGAAGCAGGACTAGTTCCTGCAGAGAACCAAAGGTGAAGCTCCAGTTGTAAGAGCCAATGATAGATGAGTACTTTAAATATTTAATGCACCTAAAAAATTTACTTCAATCACTTCAGAAAAATTGATGATTACAGCTTATGGCTATATCTCAAGCCCAATTTGTTTATCCAATATTCTATGGAAAAAATTAAAAAGAGGGAGATAATATACCAAAAAAAAAAGCTCCTTACAAGAGTAAATGACAACAAAGATACACTGCCAAGCAGATTAGTACAAAGCAGATTAGTGACAACAATGATACACTAACAAAGAAGTAGCAATGTAAAGGGCAGGAACATTTTGAAGGAAAAATAAATCAACTGATTTTCTGAGTAGCATTCTTCAACAACTTAATCCTTAGAAAAATCTCCTGAATAATCCTCATAGAACATCTTCAAACTCAAGAACAAACACTGTTTACTAATATGAACAATTTCCAGTTCAAATGCGATAGACAGCAGGAATCAACGCAGGATCTCAGTATCTCACCTAGAGATGACAATATTAAGTGGATATCCGCTAACCCGCTCCACCCGCTTAAAATAAATGGACGAAAACCCGAATTAAATGGATGAGAAGCGGGTGACGGATGAAGCGGATGATGGATCGGATCGGATGTGGATGATATTTTTTTCACCCGCTAACCATCCACCCATCCGTTTAACATATATTAAATTTTTAATCAAAGATTTTTACTAATAAAATATAGATTGTGCAAGAAAATTACTTGTCTTTTTTTTGTTGCAAATTAATTTTTCAAACAATATGTTGTTATTGTTTCTTTTTTATTAATAAATTAAAAAAATTATTATATAAATAACCAAAAATTAAAGTTTATCTGAGTTTTTTTTTTCATTTTAGTACTCATCCATTTATCATCCGCTCCACCCCTTTCATCCGCGGATGATGGACGAACGGATATGGATGATGGGTGAAGCGGATGACGGATGGATGTGGATGGAGCAATTAGGATAATGGATGGATGCGGGTGAAGCTCCACCTGATCCAAATCCGATCCATTGCCATCTGTAATCTCACCATTGCGGCATAAAAATTGTAATAGTTTGGTCCTTCAGCAATTACAGAAAACGAACTCTTTGATCAAGGCAGAAGAACCAATTATCTGCAACCAGCTCAACATCGTTGCCATCATCTGTGGCTGCACTCTTGTTTACAAAAGCTAATCCTCTTAAATAGCTTATGTGTCTAATTCAACATAAACAGTTGATATTAGGAAGACTGAAAGAATTGTCATCACATCCATACGAATATTCAACTTCATGATTATAAACACCTAACTCAGCTTACAGCTTTGATAGCACAGAAAAAGACAGCCACTGCACTACGGCCCTTTGGGTTGATCTTTGTCTACCTTTCCTTATAAGTATAGTTTCTACTATATTACCATTACTTTGCTTTTGTTAAAGGTAAACCAACAGCCATATAGGATAACCTCATTAACCAGAGAGAAAAAGGCACAATAAGGAAACAGGGAAAACGGGATCCTGCACAGTATAATAACTGCAACATAAAAGCTCCAGGAAATGACCCCCCCCCCCTCTCTCTCTCTAGATCTAATGCTCAATACCCCGAGAACCTCATCTTCTCATCAAGCATTAGTACTGAGTACAATGAACTTCAATTTAACAAAAGACGCCTGAAGCAATCCTTGAATAAATATAGACAGTACAATGATCCAAAATTTTAACAGTGACATTCATAGCATGTTTGAGGTCACATTCTCGTACATCATCTTTTTTACTTCATCTGAAGCCCTTTTCTCTCTAAAAAAATTCTATTCTCTAATTAGACTATTGTATTAGGAAACGGACTCAAAGTTGGAATTTACTTTGATTATACGGATATAAGTACATAATATCAATAGGAAACTTTAAACACCCCCACCGCCAATATAATCTAACCTCCAAAGTTCAAAATACCTTCACCATGTAGATCTCTAGCACCTCTAACTTTAATGCATACAAGGGCCAGTTGATACACAAGTGTCCATAAAAGAGAAGACATTCGATAACATCTTTTTCCTAGGCTGGTGTTTAGTTCATTGTTTTCCAATACCCTTTCCCCTCTATACAGTTAAAGTTGTGTCCAATGTTCTCCAGTCTGATTCCCATAACCCTGTCCCTAAACGTTTAGATTCACTCAAACACCTCCTACCCTTTCTTTACAAAAGGCATCATCATTGTACACCCATGAGTACATGACCCACTGGCATCACAGCTTTGCAAGCCGATTTCATCATCACAGCCACATGCCCGCATCCATTACCCACCATACAAATTCAACCTCCATTTGGTTGAATGATCTGTCTACAGAGATCAAACAATCAATTTCAACTGAGGTAATATCGAACAGCAAGAGGTGCAAACAATGGCATCATCCCAGAGTTATAAGAGTGATGTCATATAACCACCATGGATGGGGCCATGCACTTCGCCATCAGAGAAGATTTGACAATTGTGGTTACGGTGGATGTGCAAAGGAAAATTAGAGAGGTGAAAAGAGCGGCATAGTTTGGTTAATATGAGGGTTTCAATTGCCTTCTCAAACCAAACACTAACTAATGGAATATAATTCTTCCCCTACCTAGATCCTAACTAAACTATTAGGGAATCTAGAGATTATTTTCCCAATCCTCCACATAAACACACACATTTCCCCTTCTCAATCATTCCCTTTCACGCCTGAATATTAAAAAATAAATAAATAAATAAAAATTAAAATAAATAAATAAATAAATAAAAAATCCCCTTAATTTTGAGCTACATTGAGTGAAAAGGTATTTGGGAGTGTTATTTGAGAATGGAGACTTAAGTTAGAGATCCATGCACAAGATCCTTTCTACCCCCTCCATTCAATTAGAATCTGTCCATAGAGAAAAAACTATCAATTTCAACTGGGGTAATGTCGAACAGCAAGAGGTGCAAACAATGGCATAACCCTAGAGATAATAAAAGTATTGTCATATAACCATCATGGATGGGGCCATGCACTTTGCCATAATGGAAGTTTCGACAATTACAGTTCAAAAACTTTTGTATACATCCGGTTTACACTAATATTAGTGTACATCGAGCCGTATAAGGGTAACTTTTAGTCAATTTTAGGATAACTTTTTGTCTTTTTTGGGGTAACTTTAAACATATTACAATTTTTATATAAATCAACAAGAAAAGTTTTATAGAGGTAATTTAATTACATTCAATCACTAATAATTGATTTTTAGTCATTTAATATGTGATTCGTTACTAATAAAGCGTAGATAATTTTTACTTGAATTGGGTTACTTTAACGCATATTGGGGGTAACTTTTATTCATTTCAGGGGAACTTTTAATCAATTTAGGTTATCTAAACTAGAGAGGCGAAAGCAGTGGCATTGTTTGATTATACGAGGGTCTGAATCACCTTCTCAAACCAAACATTAACTAATGGAATATAGTTCTTCCACTACCTAAACCCTAACTAAACTATTAGCGAAACTAGAGATTATTTTCCCAATGCTCCACACACACAAGACACAAATCTCCCCTTCTCAATCATTTCCCTTTCTCCCACTTGAAATAAAATCCCCTCAATTTTGAACTACGTTGAGTGAGTGTTATTTGAGAGTGGAGACTTAACTTAGAGATCCATGCACAATATCCTCTCTCTTCCCCCCCCCCCCCCCCCCAAAAAAAAAAAAAGCCGGTGATTGACAAAAAAAAACATATATGTGTAAAACCATCACTTTGACATTTCTCCTTCAATATAAAAGGTAAATAATACTTTTTCCATGAAGCATGATTTGTTACTTAAGATGGAATTGTCTCGACTCAATCTCTATACTTATCATCTTAAGGTTATACATCAACTCAATACCTAGATTTCTCCTATATCGGATCAAGTTGAGTCAGCTAAGGTTGTCTCATCTAGCAACAACCAAATTGACTCTAATTTCTTTAAAACACATATCTTCATTATATATTAGTTACAACACTTTTTTTTATCTCAAACGTACTACTTTGGCTATTAGTCTATTATTACCTCTAAATACGTTATAAGTACAATTAAGAAAAGCTAACATGTAAACAATACACACTAAAATAAATCTAACAAGATTTCACTTGACTAAATTTACTTCTAACATACCGGTGAGCAATGACTATATTTTTGGTCTAAATTTTCAAGAATTAAAGTGTTGCAACTACAATGTAATATGGAACGGAGAATTCCAACATATGAGTTAAAGTGGGGCTACAAAAGTAAGAAGAAATTGAGTTTTGGATTATTCTATTGAATTATAACATGGCAAACCGCTAATTGTTTAACCTTTCAAACAACATTAAAGGAATTTCCAAGCTACTATAAGAGTTGATGGCCCACTGGCCTTCTCAATCTTCATCTTTCACATAGCTTCTTTAGCTTTCTCCTATTCCTACTTGAATTTGATGCAATTAGACCACATATACAACTATCAATATCGTCCAAATTGTTGAGGGGGTGTTTGATTCACTAAGTGGTATGGATTTGGAATTAAGAATGAAATTATGATGGCATGGGGTTGAAACTTGATACTTAATACCATGGGTTTGATTTTGTTAGGGAATGAACCCTTTTCTGTTATTTGACACCCAAAGGTATGGTATAAGTCTCACCCGAATTACCCACCTTCCCCTAGGGTACTTAAACCTCACAACTCGGACCTAAATTACTTACTTTTGAACCAAACATCCCCTAAAAGCACATATATAAAAATTCCACTGCATGGCCCACATCTACATATCGTCAACTTCAACCGCAGAAATCACATTTGGTTCTTTAGCATCCTTGAGACTTTAATGCCGGACACTAATTAATTTTGACTCTAATGTTCTAACCTCTTTTTCCCTTGTATTTCATTTTCCTAAAACTGCCTATGATAGCTTTAGACAATTTCATATTATATTTTTTCCTCTTATTACTGCCATGATCCCTTTCTCTAGGAATTAGAAACCTAAGGCACTTGAGAAGATGAAATTGATGAACAAAAGGCAATCACCACAAAGGAACCATTTCCATTACTATGAGTATGACCCTACACATCCATCAACTTCTCCATAAACTGCATGACCCAAGAAAGGTCTTTGTTCTTTGCTGCTAGTCTGCTACCTAAGGATACTAACACTCATAAACAATCCAAAAATCCTTAACCACACAAAATACTGAACCTTGGTTGCTCACAGCAAAGACCAGCCAATACAGATCCTCTCGCCTAGCATTTGGCAAGCTTGATCTAGATGAACAATTGTCAACCCTAAGTACTTAGGAATCGAGGATCTTTTCGCAAGATCAATCCAACAACGATATTCAATTCAGATGGTCAGTAAATATTTTCTCAATATTTAACACTAAGGAAATCAATAGTACTCATTACAAGTGACGGATCTTGAAACTTTTTCTTTCGGGGGCCAATAACTTCCAACATAAAGTATATATAAAACAAGAAAAGAATAAGATAAGCAACCAATTTTAAAATATAATATGAACATATACAAGAAACTAACTCTAAACAATTAAACCTATAAATTTACAATTGAATGCATTTTTCATAGGTTCATATGTTCATTACTATTATCAATGCAATATCAAATAACAAGTATTGAAAACAAGCCTTTAATTGATAGGTATTAGAAAATAACAACATACTGTAGGTAAAAACTCAATACTTCTAAGTGAGATATCTATTAACCTCAAAATTATCTAGTGGCCTTACAATTATCAATTTTCTTTTGAATGTTTAAATTAATCAAAGTAACATACCAATTTGATTGCACAAAAAAAAAGTTCTTACAATACATTTTTTTTTTAAAAAAAAAAACGAAATAAAACAACAATAATAAGGGGTTGTTTGGTTGCACAAAGAAACTGAAGGGAGTGAAAAATCATGGGAATTTGAAAATGAGTGAGTTGTTTGGTTGACATTAAAAGGTGTAAATGAGAGAATTGCAACTTCCCACAAAATATGGGAAGTTAATTACCCAACCCCCCAGGTAAGTCAAAATTCCCATGATTTACAACTTCCTGTCAACCAAACAACTTTATACAATTCCCATGAATTTGATGTAGGAATTTAATTCCCATAAAATACAAATTCCTATGGGAAGTAAATTCTCATAGCAACCAAACGACACCTAAGATTAATAGCAATAAACGAATTCATTAAATACTCCGTAGTAAATTACAATGATGGTGTGATGTCGATGACTTCATTCTTCAATTAAATTGATGGTTGAATTGTAACTTGGCAAATGGATATTGTCAAAGTGATGACGTAGTACGTGGTAATTCTAAAAGAGAGGGAGGGGTTGTGGACTTGTGGGTCCATCTTATTTTGGAGAGTGGGAAATTAAAGCTGAGTATTAATAATTTTAGGTAAATAATAAAGCATTCCGTTTTGTTATTTTATTGGGCCTTCGGCCTTCCACATGCTATTTTATTAGATAACTTGATTAAAGCTCAATATACGTAGTATACCAGGCTTCTACATATAGTATAATTTTTTTCCAAATCTATCTGGAGCCAAGCCCCGATAAGTCTCTTCTATGATCCGCCTCTGCTCATTCAATTGATCTTGTATGGATCCGATCTACAATAAATTATTTTAGACCCAAAATTTGATAATTCAAATAATATAATCACATTCTGGATGATATAATCACTTTTTTAGATGATATAATTATCTTTTTGTGAGTCATATTTTGATCTCATATCAAACCATTTAATGAGATTATATAATTATGTTTAGGATTATAAAATTTAAAAATCATCTTTTAAATGATGTGATTTATTAATTTGATACTTTTTATAATGATAAATTCACTTTTTGAGTGATACATTTACATAACAGTTTCAAGATGATATAATCACTTTTGTAATAATATAAGCACATTTCGTATGATATAATTACATTCGTATAGTATACTAGAAGGTTGGGTCTACAATAAGTTATTGTAAACCGGGTCTATTCTAGTGCTCATTACATTGGTTCCCTTTAAATTAGGATAAGGACAGCATATATATAATTATTGTCATATCTTAGTAGCATAATTTTTTCAATTTAAGCAACATATTGACATACAAAATAAGCAATAGAATTCGAAAATTGAAACAAGAAATATATTTCATAACCATATGTTTGATCATCCCCAATTCATCAAATCATCATAGGGACTAACCTTCTATAAGTACACCCATAAGAAGTGCTTCAGTCCCAGTTGTAGGGTATTTGAGCTTCCTAGCTTCCAATTCACTCATTGCAAATGACTTTATAGCCCTCCCTGACCACCTAATTCAACCAATCATCAAAACCCCAATTAACACATAAAACCAATATAAATAAACCATAAAATTAACCAAAAAGGTATACAATTTTCAACTCACTTGGGAGTTTTATCACCAACAACCCCATTTGGACTCCTGCCCAAACAAAACAAATAAAAATTGAAACTTTAAACCCTCAAACCAAAATTACGGTATTTCTCAAAAGCAATGAGAATACAAAATCTTACACAGTTGGGAGGCTGACAGTGATAGCGGCAGAAACAGGGCGTCGTTTGGTTGAAATTGAGAGTGATTGAGATGTTCTTGTTGAAGAAGGATTGATGAAAGAGAAAGTAAGATTACCCAGAAATGGATTCTGTGAAGAGAGAGAAATGCAATTAGATGATTTTAATGGTTTTCTGAAATCTGGGAATTGTTGTGAGTGTATTATTCTAGAGATAGATTGGGAAGTGGCAGCCATTGTTGAAGGTTGGAGAAGACGTTAGAGATTGAACAATGTGGGAGTAGTATTTGTGGATTGGTCTCAGACAGTCTTGCTCACTGATTGTTTAAAACGGCACCGTTTTCGTGTTGGGTGAGTAGATCTGGGCTTTTGGATGGTTGATTGGTTGAAACTTGAAAATGTGTTAGATTGGCATATAAGAGAGTAATTATCTATTTCTACACTCTAGAGTAGGGAAATGTACCTACACCCCCACTCAAAACGACACGTTTCGTTCGCATATCAGTTTCCTTGCTATTCCCCCATATTCTCTCTTTTAAAAAAATAAAGTGTTGTACATTACTCCCAGAAATTGCCTATATTCATTTTGTCCTTCACCACCTCGTTGTCAATCCAAGATTGTTATTAAGCTAAGGTACCAATGTCTCCCTTGTTTTTCAATTTGATTTACGTAATTACGTAGTATTATTTTGTGAATTGTTGTTTAATGAAAGTGAACATTTGAAGTAATTTGATATGATTGTTCAATGACTATTTGGATTACTCTATTTTTTTCCCAATTTGATTGTTGAATACAGTGTAATAATTTAGGTCGTCGTCATTCAAACAAAAATTCATCTTAAGGCACAGTAACACACTCTCTAACTCATTTATATATTTTTATTGAATTTTTCCATTTCACCAGAAAATTCTAGCCATCAAATTATGATGTATGTGAAATTATTGTGGTTTCCTATTATTATAGTTAAATTATGTATCATGTACTCTATTTTGTGGTGAGTTATTAAATTATAAGAGTGTTCGACACAAAAAATTAGAAACATATCTTACTTGTAATAATTTTCTGTTTAATTTGATCAAAACTCGTTGAGATTGAAATGTAAATGTAGTTTATTGTGGGAATTCTTTTTTCTAATGAATGTTCATTTTCTTTTTTAATTTAATTTGTAAAAAATAACATATGCTCATTCATAAAATGAATAATGTTCATATACGTATTGTTGATTTAAAAATGAGCTTAATTAATGTTTAATAATTTAAAATTGATTTTCAAATAATCATTCAAATGTTCATATTCAAAAATGTAATGTTCATTCATTCCTAATAATATGTTTATTTTGAACATATGTACTAATATTTGCAGAACCATAACATTATGTACTTGTAGACAACCCTTATATAAGGTATTTAGTATTTAATATGGACTTGTTGCGTGTGTGTATCCAATACCCTAATAAAAAATGGATTTGTGACATGAAGACAAATAATTTAAGTATATAATTGTACATAATCATACTTCTTCATGTTCATTTATATGTTATTGAATGTTCTACGTCATATTTTATTACTTTTATATTATTAAAATTTAGACACTTTTTTCCAATAATAAACCATTTATCTTTATAATATATATTGGTTTTGTAGATATACAGGAAAATCAAATCAGGAAGCTGCAACTGGAATGCACACCTCAACTAATGCTTTTTGAATGAAATGTATTGAAAAAAAAAAGTGAAGGGCATCAAGAAGATTGATAAATGAGTTATAATATAAGCAATTTCTTTTTGCTTTAAATAGAACATTGTTTTTTGCATATTTGATGTATAAACAAGTTATATATTTTGTATGTCATATTTCATACAATAGTAGAATTGTTTGCTAGATATTATTATAAAAAATGTGAAATTATCATATCAGTACTAGTAATTCATTAAATTCTCAACATTATATCATCTTTAACTATATGTTTATGACCATATCATCAAATATTCATAAACAATATAATAACATAAAGGTTCTTGTCAAACATAAAAAATAAAAAAATAAAAAATAAAAAAAAGATATTCTCTACTAATTACATCATTTAAACAGTTCACAATGGTCACAAAAAGTTATACTTGTATATCTTAAATCCCTAGAGTAAAATGGGCAAAATAGACTAAAAGATATACTTATACTCTAATTAAATTTTTTTTAGAACTATTGTTAGACAACCTTTCCTCAAAAAATATATAGTAAGATAAAATTACTTCATATTAGTAATTACATATCTTACCCATTTAGTCCAATTGGGCCTAAGCACTAAATGATCCAATTAAAAGCCCAAGGTCAAGGTTCAGCTCTCCAATTGTGCTAAAGTCAAAGGTCAGCCCACAAAGCAAGCCAATTGGGCTAAGGCCCAACCTCTCCATGTATGATGAGGTATAAAAGCCATCATATTGATACATTCAAGGGGGATTCATTCTGATTCATTGATAGATTCACATGTTCATTCATATATTCTGGTATATTCCATAAAAGCCTCAAGCAACAAACTCTCTTGCATAGTGTCTTCTTCTTACACATTGTACTGACTTTAGCATCGGAGGGGCCTTCCTCGGCAACACCCCCGAGGCTAGTTTACGTGTGTTTACTGTGCACGAAACCTTCGGCCCAACATAACTTGGACCGAATCCAGCCTTCTCCATTTCAGCGGACCTTCGGCAAGGTCCCATTGTTTTCACCCGAAACAATTTGGCGCCGTCTGTGGGGAAGACTTTCAAAAATCTTTAAGCCAAATTCCTAACCAAGGTCATCTTGCAATTATCTTAGCAGCAATGGCTAAGAACCGCAAGAGCAAAAGCCTCCGTCAAGGAGCGGACGAAAAGCCTAAAACCCCTACACCATCGCCCTCGCCGGACCGGAACTCTCCCAAGGGTGCCGGCTCGGGGGGAGGATCATACAAGGAGGATTCCCTATCTCCCGTAATTCATGACTCTCATTATAGGCCGAGCCATTCTCGGTCTAGCAGGGGTGAGTTCGATCATAGGACATATTCAGTGTCCCAAAGCCAACCATCGGCTGCGCGCCCTCATTCCCACACTCGGCCGAGGACCCCTTTGACGGGGCCCAGCTCGGAAGAGGTGGCAAGAGCGCTGGCAGTACTCATGGAGGCGATGAGGGCACAAAATATGCCACCACCTCGTGATCGAACTCCTCCGCATACCCGGCATCAGCGGAGGAAGTTAGACCATGATGGTGGGAAGCTTCCTTCCTTCCGGGAACTGGAAGAGTGGGAGGAGGATTCTTGGAAAAATGAAAAACAGAGGAAAAAGAACCCTCAATTTTTAAAAGGATCTTCATCCTCAAGACCAGAAGCGCATAAGAGCAGCAGCTCAGCTTCTCGGCCAGAATCTACTCACCGAGAACCTGAGACTGTTCGCAGAAGCGTCCTTGACCGACTCGGCGGCCAGGAACCGAGCGTGCGTAGTCGGCTCTCGTTCCCTGCAGCCGAGGCCCAGACTTCCCAGCCAGGGACGAAAACCACTCCTACCTCTCTAAGAGGGCGGAGCGCGGTCCCTTCGGCCAGGAACAAGGGCAAGACCGTTATGCTACCCGCTAGTTCACCATTCGAGCAATGGATACTGGAAGAGCGCGTACCCACGATTAAAATACCGTCGCACATCACATATGACGGGACCACGGATCCGAAGGATCACGTGGCCTCGTATGAGACTCATATGCATCTTTGCCCCAGATCCGAGGCGACTTGGTGCAAATATTTCCCAACCACTCTCAAGGGGGTCGCGCAAGCGTGGATCTCCAAGGGAGTAAGGCAAGGCTCCGTAACAGGGTGGGATGATCTGTCCTCCAAGTTCAGGAGCAAGTTTTCCACGGCAAACCGCCGAGAGAAGACTACCGCAGAGCTCACGAGTCTGCAACAGGGGGAAACCGAAAGCCTCCGAGACTACTTGACCCGTTTCAGTAACGAGTCATCAAGCGTCTCCCAGCTGGACCAGGGGCTAGCCGTTTTCGCAATGCAGAATGGCCTTCAGCCAGGAAAGTTCCTAGACTTCATGGTCATGCATACCCCGCAGACCTTGGAGGAAGCTCTTAGTGCTTCGGATAAGTTCATCCGAGCCGAAGAATGGAACAAAGCGAAAACCCAACCTCAATCCGGGGGTGGGAAACAGAGGCAAATACCCTTGTCTGAAGGCCAAGGCCATAAGGCAAAGGGAAAGTCAAAGGCCCCGGAGCAATCTTTGGCCAACGACCCAAAGAAGGAAAGATTTGCCTCATACACAGGCAGATACGAGTCCTACACTCCGCTCTCTCTTCCACGCGCCAAAATTTACAGTGTGACGAAGGAGGAGCAGAGTTACCGAAAGCCGAGACCACTCCCAGAGTGGTATCAACGAAAAAATAAAAATCAGTGGTGTGAGTTCCACGAGTCTTCAGGCCACAACACTGAGGAGTGTATCCAACTGAAGGACCAGATAGAGGACATGGTCCGGAAGGGATACTTGAAAAAATACATCGCGGATCACCGCGAGAAAAAAGAATCCGAGAGGTCAGCAAAGGACCCTCGGCAGGACCTTGACTTCCCCCGGAAAAACAGTAAAAAGCCGGAGGGGAAATTCCCTCCGATCAATGTTATCTCGGGAGGAATATACTCTCGGAGGGAGCACAAGCGCCACCTTAGAGCTTTGACTCACCAGGTGAACAACGCTGACATTCAATCTCCCCAGTCGCCGGTGCCGAACATGACGTTCACAGCCGCCGACTGCCGGGGGATTACGTTCCCTCACGAGGATCCGTTGGTGATCATCGCCACGGTGGCCAACCACGACGTCAGTAAGGTCCTTGTTGACGGTGGCAGTGGAGCAAACATTCTGTTCCGAAAGGCCTACAATCAAATTAAGCTGAAGCCCAAGCACCTTACGCCGGTACCCTATCCGGTATCCGGGTTCAATGGGGCTTCAACTTATCCAGATGGGAAGGTGACACTTCCTGTCACCATCGGTTGCGATGAGGCAGCCCGGAACGTCATGATTGAATTTTTGGTCATCGACGCTCCTTCAGTGTACAACGTGATTTTGGGGAGACCCATAATTCACGAGATCCAAGGGGTCGTCTCAACTTATCATCAGCTGATGATTTACGTCTCAGACGCCGGCTTCCCAGAAAGGATACAGGGCAACCAAAAGGACGCCCGAAGGTGCAACTACCTCAAGCCATCCAGTAGTCGCCCAGATGACGACAAGGATGAGGAGGAGAAAGAAAGAGAGCCAAGCACAAAAAAGCCGAAAGGCCTAAGTGCTTCGGCCCAAGGATCTGTGCCCAGAGAAAAAGGGCCCGAAAGGGAAAAGGCTAGCTCTTCAGCTGAGCCGCAAGACTCAGAGAGCCAGCCGAAGAACAAAAAGACTGGGACACCTGCTGACATTGGCAGCAGGCCAGATTCTGAAGAGTCCAGTCCATCGGCAATGGACATGGACCAACAGACTGAAACAGTTGAGTTGGCCGAAGGAGACGGTGAGAAATGTGTAGCAATTGGGATGGACCTTGATCCAAACACCCGTTGTGAACTTATTCAGCTCCTTCGGGACAACAGAGATGTGTTTGCTTTCTCGGCAGCTGATATGCCCGGGATAAGTTCAGACCTCATCTCCCATAAGCTTAATGTTGACCCGACGTGTCGACCAGTTAAGCAAAAGAAGCGGAATTACTCCGCCAATAAGAACCGAGACATCGCAGCCGAGGTCAAAAAATTATTGGAGGCAGGATTCATTGAACCTTGCCAATATCCAGAATGGCTGGCAAATGTGGTGATGGTTCAGAAGCCCAATGGTACCTGGAGGATGTGCGTTGATTTCACGGACCTAAATAAGGCTTGTCCGAAGGATTTCTATCCCTTGCCGAGAATCGATCAGCTAGTCGATTCGACAAGTGGCCATGCCTTGCTTAGCTTCATGGACGCATTCTCGGGGTATCATCAGATCTTTATGCACCCCGACGATCGAGCCAAGACAGCATTCGTCACGAACGCTGGGGTGTACAATTACAAAATGATGCCCTTCGGATTGAAAAATGCGGGGGCAACCTATCAAAGGCTGGTGGATCAAGTTTTCGCCGATCAAAAGGGCCGAAACATGGAAGTCTATGTTGACGATTCGATCGTCAAAAGCAAAAAACTAGAGGACCATGTAAAGGACCTGGCTGAAACTTTCGCCACCTTGAGAAAGCATCAAATGAAGCTGAATCCGAAGAAGTGTGTCTTCGGCGTGAAGTCAGGGAAATTCCTTGGGTTCATGGTCAGCAAAAGGGGGATTGATGCCAATCCCTCTAAAGTCAAAGCGGCGCTCGACCTTCCTGAGCCGAAAACGAAGCGGGATGTTCAGCGGCTCACCGGAAGAATGGCAGCCCTCTCGAGGTTCATTTCCAGAGCTTCGGATAAGGGGTTACCTTTCTTCAAAGCCCTGAAACTCCCGAAAACAAAAGAGCTCGTTTGGGAGGAAGAGCAAAAAGACGCCTTTAAACAGCTTCGGGAGCATCTGGCTCAACTCCCAACGCTGGCTAGCCCAGCTGAAGGAGAAACTTTGTACCTATATGTGGCCGTTAGCCCAGCCACCATCAGCGCAGTATTGCTGAAGGAAGAGAGTAAGAGTCAGCAACCGATCTATTTCGTCAGTCATACACTGACGGATGTCGAGACTCGCTATCCTCTACTCGAGAAAGTTTCTTTCGCGGTAGTAGTGGCTGCTCGGAAGCTGAGGCCCTATTTTGATTGCCATCAGATAGTGGTCTTAACTGATCAACCGTTGGAAAAAGTTCTCGGCAAGGTTGAAAAATCTGGTAGGCTAGCCAAGTGGGCTTTTGAGCTCACCGAATTCAGCATCAGCTACCGTCCGAGGGCTGCCATTAAGGCTCAAGCTCTAGCGGATTTCTTGGCCGAATGCTCATACCAAGAAGCGCTAGACAGTGAAAAGAAAGTCTGGACCGTGTTTACGGATGGATCTTCTACCGAAAACGGTTCGGGGGCAGGGGTAGTGATAACTTCTCCCGAA